ATATAAGTCTTCCCAATTCTATACCGACTGACGATCAAACGATACTAAATGAACGATATGGTTGTTTATTGTTGAAGTGTATCCTGTCCGATATTTAACAAAGCCAAAGGATTTATTTTATAATGGAAGATTTCCCAAACATCGCTAACTGTGTGTGTAAACAATAGTGCTATCTTGACTGTGAAGGCACAGGATTAAAACCGTTATGGACTGTAAAATTCCTTTCATTTACATTGCTGAAACTCAACGATCAAGAATGATTATGTCGAAGACTCGAAGTATAGCTACCTGTCATCAGACGAACACCAAGACCACTGTGCGTTTCCGTGCGTGCGGTACATATAACTTGAATATTTAGGACGATATATGCACCAGATTGCACCAGACACTGGTACTGTACTTCATAGTAAATTATTTCATATTTTGTGTATTACAGTAATTTACAGCAGGTACATTATAAACCTTATAAAGACCTTTCATTCCCATTGCCCATTCAGTGCCTTATATTTGAAGAATAACCCGACAGCTTCTTTCGACTTGTATAATGCTGCTGTGCGTCATCAATATTTAAATCAACTTTAAATAATCTTTATCGTATACTCTATAAATGACATTTTAGCAGTTTCACCAAACCATACTAGAGGCAAACAACCTATCTATCAATGGAAACTTTAAAAGGCTTATTAAAACTCATTAATTAAGTAATTCTATGAGCTGGACTTCGTGCGCTTATATACAGTTTATGAATTATGTATATATATCCCTGATGATAAAACGTAGGGACACTTTATACCAGATATAATAAAAAATACTTTGCTAAACCTTTTCGGCTATCATTCCTTTGCATTTAAGGGGCGAGGGTGAATGGCTATATAATTCATATCGGAGATTCTGTGCAATCTGATTTAGTGATTTTGGCTTCAGCAAACAGGTACTCGTGCAGACAAAAAAGGAAATGCATACAGTTGTGAATTGTCGTATAATTCTTTACTGTTGATCCCAAACAATTTTGTACATGTACGTTAACACTCCTTCCTACCTTGTGTTGAATATAAACGATGATAACCTTTTTAAAAAAATCTAGAGCACTATGTCTATAAACCGTTTTAGAATCAATAGAATGGACATTCAATGTCTATTTGGCTAGTGTTCAAATATGTAGGACCAGCAAGGCGTAGCGCCTAGTACCTACACAGTCGCTTTTGAGACCTCTATTTAACAAAATTTATACCGTTTCCATATGACAACAATTCAATGGCACATTATAAGAATATTATACGTATCTGAACCAGAGCCAGATACAGAAACGTACGCGTGAAATGAAACTGCGCCCTAACCCCGCGAGACAATAAAAGGGCAAATATTTCCAAGCATATACGTTCATATGTTTTCGTTGCTTGATTTTCTGACTTGTTTGTTGCTATAAGAATCTACAGTTTAGCATGTTTGTATAATTTAAAAGCAAACAGAAACCAATTTAGCAAGTATTTTGAAGTATATATGATTCTCAATAAGGATTGTATAGAACAGTCGCTCCTTGCAATCGAAGTGTGAGGTGCGAAGTGGAAACATGTAATTTGATACTTTTCCATCCCCCTCTTAGGTTATCAATTTTCTATGGGTCACGTGACCAGCCCCGACCAGGGTCTTTGCTTCACAAGAGCAAAGAGCCTGGGAACGAGGTTGGGTTCTTTGAGGATTTCCGTTCACTTAAATTGCTTTCACCATGTCCTTGGTGTTGCTTTTTCTTGATACGGTCGAGATCCCTACTTGTGTTACTGACTTTGTTTCCCATAGTCTCTACTTTGCCCTTTAGAGAAGGTACCTCTTCAGCATTTTCCTTTATTTCCTCTTTAAACCGCTCGTCAATGGCTTTCGATTGTCCTTTGAGGCTTGATATCTCAGTTTCCAACGTTTGGATTTTTGAATTTCTAGCTTCCAACACAGAATTGAGTTCATTAACTTTATTTTCAAATCTTTTCACTGATTTAGCGCATTCTTCCCTAACTGCAAGGAGTTCTGCTCTCATGTTTTTTACTAAGACTAGGATGTCTTTGCAGGACATTTTCTCATCCGAATGTTTGGTTTTGGTGACTGGATGTGAATTGGAATTCACCTGGCAAAACGTATCTGTTAGACTTTGCGTAAGGTCTCTCGACTTCCAACATTTCCTCGCTTCACCGGGTGTTGACAAACCATCCGCTTGACTTGGGGTAACTTACTGAGTGGTTTCTCTGCACCAGCTTCAGCATCACTACACCAGTGAATTGTGTTTACCACACCTGATTCACTGACAACTGACAGATCGGATGATCCATTTTCGTTTTTGAATATGTCCTTTAACCCCATTGTGACAACCCCGGTATTAAATACTCGTGTATTTCACAAATATCATTTGTCAAACGTTCTTCCAAGGTCGAGAACTTGCTGCATCCTTTCGGTTTTCTTCTAGTATAAAGGTCACCTTTTGGGAAGGTCTCAAATTGTTTCCCTTTCTCGACCAATTTTAATCTAAATTGCGTCAAGCTGTCAATATCTCCCTTCCCAATTAACTCTGCCACGATGTCATTTCTGGGTTGCTTTGAAATTTTCTTAATCAGAGCTTCAATTTTATCCGACATTTCAGAACTGTTTTGTAGTTCAAAATTGCAGGCCTACTTAAGCGTTCCCGGAGAACCAGTCCGATAAGAATCGAACAGTACTGTTAGAACTCAAATTAACGTTGATTTTGGAGTTATCCTCTTGAAAAGTGCTAAAAATTGCTTAAAACAGTTCAGATTTTTTGAGCTTAAAAAATACGCATATCACTAGACCAAAAAATAGGTACGAAACAATGTTTTTTATGTATAATTATACACTCTCAACTGTAAACATTTGCAAAATTTTACACAAACGTTTAATAAACGTTTAAAAAGTTGAATGTTTTCTTCTCAAGAAAAAATTTTTGACAAGATTAAAGTGATTATATGTAAACAGAAAAATATCACAGTTTCATAGCCAATTGTCTATTTTAAGCAAGAAGTGCAATACCAAACAAAAACAAACGTTCACCTGTTTAGGCTGTTTAATACAGCTCATAGATTGAGTAAACGGCAGGGTTAAATTAGCTTCAACCCCATAAAAGATTTGTTCTTTCATCGATTTGATCCTTTACAATATTCCTTGGCTGTTGATGTCACTCTAATAAATCGAAAAGTTGACAAAAACAAAACAGTAAACACAACATTGCCATTGCCCGCGTAAAATATTTTACTACTCAGCGACACTTTTGTATAAGAGGAATTTCTCGAGTTACACCATGCCATGTGTTTTTTCAATTTGAGTTACATTTTACTCATAGTATTTTCAACGGTAACCTACCGTAAAATTCTCTATCGCATTGTAGAGAATTTTATTAAATTTTCTCAATAGTTGCAAAACATCATGCTCTATTGATACATGCAATAAAAAAATAGGTCACTATAGATGTTAACTAGTCTCTCCGATTATGAATAAAGAACAATATATTTTACCAAAAAGCTATTAAAGTGTACATCTTCGAATGATTATCTATCAGTTTTTCTTGTTCGAGCCTAGAGACCTCGAGACCATGCTCTCGACCCAGTCTTTTCTCTCGGCCGGAAACTGCGTTACTAATTAATTATGTCATAAATTAACAAAACTAAACATTAATATATGCTTCTCAACATTCCCCCTCTCCACACTGAAGTCTAATACAACTGTGTGAACAAACAATGTCCAACTTTAATTAATGTCAAAATATTAACTGTCCGATATTACACGTCCAACGGAATTAGTTTGTGTATGGGCCTAATATATGTCTTTTGGCCACATTGTACTTTCGTGACTC